GGGGGGGGGGGGGGACATGGGGCAGAATGAAGGCACCTTAGCAGGTACCCCTTTTCACCCAGCAGCATCCCAGGGTTGGTGGCTGGTTTGAAGCAGGCATCACATGCATGTCTGCAGCAAATCTGCCTACCTGTGCCAATAACAAAGGCAGGGGTGGGGAGAGATATCAAGGTTGCTCTTAGAGCGACCTGAAGGAGGTTTGCAGTGGGTAGCACAGTAGCTGGGTTGGATTCTGGTCAGCCAAGGTTCAGCTTGTTTTGCAGCATGGATGTATTCTGCCACGCTGACGCTCTGCTTGAATAAGGGGACCCACCGCTGTTGAAAGATTGGCATGCAGCCAGGGCAGCGGCCAAGTAAACTTTCCTATTACCACTTCCGGCTTCAATCCTCCTTTGGCAGGCCCCTTTCTGTTGCTAGCGGGGGAATTTGGCCTGTGCCTGATACCAGCTCATGCTGCAAAATTTGCACCTAAGTTTCAAAGTTCCCGAGATGTTTGGATCTGGGCTTTTGATTCAGATCATCTTGGAGAATGAGGCTGCTTGCACAACTCAGATCAAGGTCTGGGTCCCCACACAACCGCCCTCCTCCAGAGCTACCTCTGAGCTCTGTGCCCAGCTGGGTCCTTTACTTTGCTGTTCAGACCATTGGCGATGGCTGTTCTTGCGCCGCGGGCACCTGCTTGGACAAAGCCCCTCCCAAACTTGTGTCCCTTCAGTCATTACATAGGACCTTTTTTGACTGCCTTATTCTTGTACATGTTTTAAAGGGATTTTTTTTTAAACATCTCTCCGGGTTTCTCCCAGGGGAAAAATGAATCAACGGAAGCTCACAGGCTTATGAAATAGAGCTTGGACTGCCAGCCAAGGAACTGTTTGAACTGTACATTTCATAACAGGCTAAGTTACCTGGCGTTGTTGATCTTCTATATTATAATTTTTTATTTGCTTTCTTTTGGTTTTGGCTCACGAGATGTTGTGGCTCTGGCTCAAACAAAGAGTCGAGAAAGGAACAGAGAATGGTTGACATGGTTTGTGAGAGTTTAAAAGACAATATTTGTGCTTTTTTTTTTTTTTTTTTAACTTGCACTGGCTTCTTGTATTGATTGCTGCCTGTCTTTCTGTTGGCTCTGTTATTGATGTGTAAGAGCTAACGCGCCCCTTTGCATCCCTTGCAAATGCCATTTCTTTGCCTTGAGGCTGCGGTGCCTTTGGGAAGGAAGAGGGAAAACAGCTTCTTGTTGGCTGGAAAACGCAATGAAGACTGGGCCTCGTGATACTTTGCCTGGTGCGCTTGTGTTTTGAAGGTGCATGAAACCCGTACAAGCCAGGGGCTAATGTGTGCTGGCAGAGACTCCTGGAAGCAACCCTTTCTCTGTTGTAATAATCCAGGCTCCGGGCTTTATTTGTCATGGAAAGTGTGTGTGTGTGTATGGGGTATATGTACGCACATGAAGGTGGGTAAGTTTTCATGCTTGTGTGTGAGCACTTGTGTGCACCTGCCTGTCTCTGTGCATGGTCCCTGCATGTACCTGCCCTCACTTGTGCAAGTGGCAAGAAGAAACAGGTGCAAAGCAGTGAGGCAGTGGAGAGAAACTCTGAGTGCTCTCCACCTAGGATTTTGTTGTACAAGGTCAGAAGCCCAAAGGCCTCTCTGTTACCTCTGTCCATCCAGCCTCAGACGTAGGTCTTCTAGGTCTTGCTAGGTCTTCAGTCCCTTTCCTAGGACCTGCACCTTCTGGGGTAGCCTGGGCACCTACCGGGGTTGGGGGGTAGGATCCAGTCTTTGCTACCATGTTCTTCTCATTTGAAAAGGACAAACACCAGAGTCAGGAATGCCTTGAGTGTCTGTCCTTCGATCAAGTCCCATTAAAGTATCTCTAGTGAAGAACCCAACATCCCTTGTCCCTCCTGAAAAATCTCAGCTCTTACGATAGATCTTCGCTTGCACCCCTTCCTCTGGTTGCAAAGGTGGTGCACTCTTGCATGGGCATTTGGGTGGAAATGCCCAGTCATCCCTTGGCATAACCAGCCCCTCTACCCAGAGGCAAAGGTCTGTCTGCCCCACTGGAAAACAGTGCCCGTACAGCATTGGGTAAGGGTACCCTCTTGCTCTGGGAGCAATCTCAGTGGCTCTTCCAAGTAACAAGGCCAAACACACCGTGCATGAATAAAATAATCATTTTTATTTAGTACTGTATATTTAAGTATTCTCTATTTGTTCTTATGGAAGAAGAGGCAGCCTTGCATGACACGGATACAGTCGCTTTCTACTAGAATGTAGCTTTGCTCAACAGTAACACTGTTTAATTACAGTCTTGAGAGCTCCCTGACCCGCTCGGGACCCTGATGGGAAACACTAAACAAAGGAAATCCTTCCTCCTTGCCTGTCCTCCCCTGGAGAGAGACATTGGAACTATATTAAAAGTCAACGGCATTATCTTAACCACTGGAAATCCCGTTCCCTTCTCTCTGAGCCCTGGAGGTTCTTCACCTTCCGTGGCGCATCCAGCTGTAAAGCCTCCTAGCCTTCTGGTAGTGATTCAAACCAATGGGTAGCAAGGGAGGGTGTTGGAAAACTTCTCTTCCCAAAGACTTCCCACAGGCCCTGGAAGATCTCTTGTGGTCCATTTTTGCCATCCAAGTGTGGACCCACTCCCTTGGGACCTGTTTGAGGTTCTGCTGGGAGGCCATTTTCAAGCCACAGTGATATATTGAGCATGTGGTGACAGTTGCCTTCTCACGGGGGGACGCATGGGAAGGCCCTAGGATAGGAACTAATGCCATTCAGTCCAGCTGTGCAATACTTGCCTGCTAAGTATCCTGGGGCTGTGCCTGGGGCCTGTCTAGGAGGAGTCCGCTCTAGCAATCCGGTGGGTGGAGGCATGGTGTTCCTATGGAGTCCCAACCCCATTCCAGGGGGCTGAATAATTGAAGAGCCAATCTTGCAAGATGCTGATGCCCACCCGCTCCTACAGCCCCTGCAGGAGTTCAAGATGCTCAGCATCTCCCTGCTTTGTAATTCTCCCTCGTGTTTGGCTTGTTGATTTCCACCCCCCCACCACCCTTAGGGCTTCCTGGCATCTAATGACCTCTTTAGTTGGGAAACTGCCCTGCAAAGACTGTTCACCCACAGAAGTCACCATCGCCTCTGGTTGCTGCTGGCTGTGCCCAGCTACTGGAAGCGAAGCTGGCTGGCTCTGGGAGGATGGGTTGCTTGCCATTCTCTACAGAGAATAGGCCAAGTTCTCCCTTGCGTGGCTCAACTGACCTTGGTGGAGTGCCATGAAAGACGGACTTGGCCTTGGCATAGATTTCACCACTGCACGGTTCAGCATCTTCCATCCCCACTCCCTTGGAGCAGAAATAAGATCCAAAGTCAGTGCTTTCCATGCAGGGCATGGCATATTTGCATAATAGTACCACAGTGAGACTTCTCACCTACTTGACCGACCTGTGTCTCCTGGACCTTGCCTTGGAGATAATGCAGTAGAGCTGTTCTCAGCTTGGTAGAAACAAAGCAAACCTAGGCTGCTTTTTCCTCTCGCCCCCAAATCCTGATCCATGCAGCTCAGCTGGCGCTGGGTGGAGAAGTACCGGCCTACATGTTCCTCAATGTCTCAGGGAAGTTGAGCCAAAGGGATTGGGTTTAGCTTGCCCCTCGGCATGATTTGTGACAAGGCTTGGGCAAGACCAAAATCTGCTTCTGCAAACTGAGGGAAACCTTGCAAGGTCAAAGGGATGCAGTGAGATCCCAGGCTCAGTCTCACAAAGGTGCTGGCTCCACTTTGACAACTCAGTCTTAGACCCTTTCTGATTTGTTTTGGATCTGACAAAGAGCCAAAACTGAAGAGGCAGCATCAGGGGGGTTGAATCTAACCCCCCGTGAACAAAGTGCAAAGGGATTTGTATGAGAGGTGACGGCCCGTGAGCGGGCCGTAATAGCTACAAGCATTTCCCACCTGTTGTCCGTGCAAGTGTAAGCTTGTTCCTATAAGCTGCCCGTTTCCACTGGAATAGAGGGCGCTTAGTGCCTTATAATAATGACGTGTGTTCAGCACAGTCTGGGCCCCCCCCAACCCCAGGTGAAACCCATGGGTGCTCGAGACCTCTAAAAATCAGGCCAGTGGGTCTCTGCTTCTCTGGATGAACAAAACAGGGCCGCCTTAGCCTGCAATCTTGGTTACACCTCTGGAAAGGCAAATCAATAGCTCAATACGGCATGGGATGAAGGGGGCTGGGATGGGGGAAAGGAAAGTGGTCATCTTCCTGTGCAGGGCATTGTGGAAGCACAGCACCAGGTCAGCCCCATCCCAGGGGACTGCAAAATACCCCTTCTCCTTGTCCCCACGCACCACCGCCTCATAAGAACCCATGGTGGAAGTAAAGCTCAACTTGTAAACTCGACAGCTACATCTACACCGGGAGATATTGGAGCACGAGAATTAAAATCTGCATAACGTTTACATAGCTCAGTTATTTTTTGTCGGTTTTGCTTTTTTTTGTATCCACGGCCATACAATCACAATATATATTTATATATATACTTCTTAAATTACACACTCAATGTACAAAAAAACAGGTGCGTTGCTGAGGCGACCGCGTTGCCTTAACCGTGTCGGGTTGGTTTTTTTGGGTTTTTTTCTTTTTTTTGCCTAACGGAAGAAACAGAGCTGGGGGCTGGGGAGGTCTTGTCTACGGCACCTGATATGCAGCACATTTATTTAGTCGGGAAGACCACTCGGTCACTGGGGCCAAATAAGTCATGAACCAAACAGAGGGAGGAGAAGGAGCTGGAGGGATGAGGGGTGGATGATGAGCTGAGAGCTGCGGTGATACGGAAAAAAATATGAAATGTTTTGGAGCAGAATACGTGGGGGCACCTTTCCTCCTAACCTGCTTCAGGTGTGTAAGGAGGGGATGGAGGGAGAACGATGACTGATCAGCTACATTACCCAATCTTCTTTGGATCGTGTGAAAGGTGAATCTGCGATAGCAAATGTTCTCTGCTGTGATCTTTCCACACTGACTCTGCTTCCCTAATGTGCGAGAGAAGTGGCTAGAAGTCCAGGGCAACTCCAGCTGAGAGGAGGGTTTGAACGACACATGGTAGATCCCGGGAGGAAAGGAAGGGGCAGCCAAGAGCCCTTGGTGAGTGAATCCACCCTAAGCTATCCCACTCCCCACTGGATGAACACCTGCACACGTCAGTGGGGGAGCTGAGCTATAAGGTGGGGGAAGATCATTCTTGCTAGGGCCACCGGCACCCAGGAGCAGGCTAATTCCCAGGGGAGTCCTTGTCCTGAATCCCTTCTCAGAGTAGGAAGAGGTTTTCCAAGAGCTGCACCCAGAGTTGTCCAACGTGCCTTTCACAAGCACCTCCAGCCCTGCATCTCCTTGGCTTGGCGCAGTGGAAGGCAGGGGCGTGATCTAATTTCTCTTGCTAAATCCTGATTTTGGACTCTCCCAGCGGTCTCCTTTTTTTTGTGCCTCTGACCTCTGTGGAGCTGTCCGGAGGATCTGGAGGGCGCATATGCAGCAGGATGAAAAGCAGCCCCCCCCCCCCCCCCCCCCCCCCC